GAGTGCCGGGGCGGGAGAGAGGAGGGGCCCTGGGGCGGGCAGTGGGGTGTGAGGTCGGCCTGGGTGGTGGTGCCCACATCAGCAACTGGAAACTGATGTTGGCAACCGAGTGCTCTTCTGCCTTCCCGGGAGTGTGAAGGGGGTGTGTTATCCCCCTCTGCCCTGTAACCAGTTGTGCAGAGACCCCAAAGCAAGGCAGGCTTGCTTTGAAATGGTAGTGGACTTGTCCACTGCTGTTACAGCATCCCACAACCACCTTGGTCTTTCATTTCTAGGCATGCACGTGGGGTGTAGCCTATGAAGTCCGTGGGGAACAAATTGCTGCATCGCTCCAGTATCTCAACATGCGAGAAGCTGTCCTGGGAGGCTACGACACCAAGTTGGTGAAGTTCCACCCTCAGGAGAAAGATGCCGAGGAACCCATCCTGGCTCTTGTTTATATTGCAACACCCCAGAACCCTTCTTACCTCGGCCCAGCGTCTGAAGAAGACATTGCAGCTCAAATCATTGTCTCAAGTGGTTGTGCTGGTCATAACATTGAATACTTGCTGAGACTGGCAGACTTTATGCGCTACTTTTGTCCTCAAGCAGAGGATAAACATCTCTTCTCTATCGAAGAGGCTCTTATTTCCATCCTTCCATGCCTGTACTACACAGAGGAGTCTCTAGAAGAAACTGCAAGTGTCCCTCAGAAGTCTAAGGGTTGAAATAGGAAATTTTTTTTTGCAGGGTCCCAGTAGAAGGGACATAAGGGAGGAAGCAATGGGGACAATCTTAACTGATAAAATATACTGGACTGAGTGAATAAAGGGAGAATTAGCATGTAGTAGGGGAGGGAGGAAGTAGAGTAAAACATGCTTGCTATAGGACTTGTAATTAGTACCTGTTACACTCCTTACCTGTAGCACCATGATAGCCATCACTGCTTTCCAGGTGGGGAGCAGGGATCTCTGCTGGAACTTTGCTCTGTAAGACTTGCTTCCGTGGGTCAAACCTGAAGCACTCTCCTTCTTTAGAGAAGGAGGAGGCTCGTCTATTCTGTGCACTTTTTTTTCTTTGAAGACTAGTTGAGCAGGACTTGACTGGGTTTAAGCAGTATATATGTAATTCTACCTCAGATTGGCAAAAAGCTGTTTGTGTGGTGGTGGAGACTTGGGCAGGTTCTGCCAAATAAGACCTCCTTTTTTCCCCTGCCATGTCCCACCTCCAGGACAATGACTGAAAAAAGTAGAGTCATAGAACCTGACACTAGATTTCAGGATGTCTGTGCAATATTAAGTGAACTGGCCTCTGTAGGCTCTTTGGATCCTACTTCCTTATGTTGTGAAGGATCATGCTAATGCACTTATTTTCTAAAATGTCATATTGTATTTATTACGTGTTGTATTTCCCCTTAGGAGGGGTATCTAAACTGTTCACATGCCACAGTGGTATGTAGCCCGCATTTAGCCTTGCATTTGTACCTTCTAGTTTTAAATCAGTTTTCTGAGGAGCTAAGCCTGCTTTAATGACAGCAGCTTTTCTCCAAGCTTTGCTGACCTTGTGCTGCTACAGACTTAACTGACTCCGTACGAAATGGTCCTGCCTGTGTGGGAAGTCTGTGCTGTCTGCAGGAAAGCTGTCTGGATGCAGCAGCACTTTAGCCCTGTACTGGATAAACCTCTGGTGCTTAGGATAACGTGGGTTTCTGTAGAAACGTCTGAGGTTCTAGTTCCATACCTGGGTGTCTGTCTGGTACGCTTTTATTTGACTGCAAAGGACCATGACTGAGCATATTTGCAAGCCTTTGAGCTACTGAAAAGCCTGCCTTGATTGTGTTAAGCAGGGGCACTGCTACAAGCTCAGACTTTTCACCTTCACATATTAACAGCATGAAAACCCATAGTATTTAGTAAGAAAACTGCTGCTGCTGCAACTGCAGCAAAATAGCTCTTGAGAGCTGACCCCTGGGACATCTGACTCCTCACAAATATGTGGGGTTTTATTATTAAAAAAGAGAGCATAGGGACTGTTTGTATTACTGTGGCTTGTATGTATATGAAGTCATACTGTGCTGTGCCCAGTAATAAAACAAACTGACAAAGTTAGTTTTCTGTACTTTGGTGTTGGTCTTTTTCATTACTGACTTAAAGTTCAAACTGATCCTTCTTTTTTAATTATTTTTTTTTAAAAAACCAAAACCTTAGCTGGTAATGCTGCTGTAGTTCCTATGTGTTTGTGTTGGTTTTCTTGTTTTGTGTGTTTGTTTGTTTTTTTTAAAAGCAACACCTCACTGCTGAGCAGCTTGCCTCTGCTGGATCTACTGGAGGACACCCATGACTCTTTCCTTTTGAGAAAAGGGGATTTGGTGACTTTCTCTTCCCAGCTTCCTACTCTTGTTGGTTCTGGAGTGCTAGTGCTGATAACAGATGAGACAGCCCTCCTGACTGTACAGGGCAGGCACAGAAATGTAATTCTCCCTTGGCAGGTTGAAGGATTTTTGTTCTGAGTGTAACCTGGCATTGCTGTTTCCAAGAAGTAATAGTGGAAGGACAAGAAACTGCCGCCCACAGCCAGATCTGCTGGCTGCAATAAAGGAGACAGTTACTTCCCTTCTGCCTTGTGCACAGTGGTAATGTGCAGCTGCCCTTCTGATTCCTGTAGTTACCAGCTGCCTCAGCACTAGCAGATCACTCTGCCTACCAGTATTACCTGCCTCAAGACTTAAGTGACAGAGTGAAAACTAATTGAAACAACTGAATTTACCACTAATTAAAGGCAGGTGCATGTTTCGGGGATCATAGACTAGAGAAAACTATGCTTTCCCTGTTCTGCAGAGGCTCTTGCTTCAAGTGAGCAGCTGTATCTCCCCATGGGGGCTGTATTCCCCAGCTGGAAAATCAAAGGGTTAAAGAATCAACTTACCTGCAGGGGAACACTCCCTTACTAGTACAAGCCTGGGGTCAGATAGCAAAATATCTCCAGATAAAATAAAAACATCTTCACACCTTTCAAATTTTCAAAGGTACAAAGATGCCACTGACAGGAATTAATAGCAGATGTGGGCTAAGCAACCTGCATTGCCATCTCACGTGGAGAGCCCCTTGCTTTGTTCAGCCTGGGTTGGCCCCACGATCTTTCACATCGCTGGTGAAAGACAAGTAGTGAGTGTTTCTGAACAACCCATCAGCACTAGGAATGTTCCTTCAGCTGCTGTTTCTTCTTCCCTTGAAAAACTAAGTACTTTAGGCACAGATACACTACTTCACTGAACTACCATTTTCTTCCTGATGAGTTCTTTGCAGTGGACTTCCAAAAAAGGGATGCCATTTTCTTTTCAGGAGTGGTGAATAGGGCAGCTTGCAAAAAGCATCCCGTCACTGCATCTTCAAGTCACTAAGATTTCAATAAGGTATCATGTAACTTCTTTCTCCTTAGGCTTTTATTGTGTCCTGTGAGTCTGGGAACTGGTCACATTTTGGTCAGTTGACGAATTCAAAATGTTAACATCCCAGATTTGAACTTTGGCCATGTGAGTTTGTGCTTATGTTTGTGCTGCTACTCAAAGGCGGGGGACCACAGTGGCTTGCCTCTGATGAACGAAACGTGAGGAAGAGAATTGCTTGGAGGCAGTCATACAACCATGGCACTTGGGAGTGCCAGGCCAACGGTGACACACAAGGACAGTGTCCTACCCCATGCATGTTTCACTACAGGCTTCCTTTCCCCATGTCATGACTTGCTAGCCCAGGTGCAGCAGCCAGCTGTGGGCACAGCTCCAGCTTCTGGCAGCTCTAGCGCTGGCCTGGGAAAGAGCACTCACCTTGTCAGAGGGTGAGACAACCGCCTTCATTTGCAAAGTGCTGCCAGATGTTTCTGGAGATGCTTCCCTATCTAGTGGGGAATCTTCCTCTTGCACGTGCAGTTTTCTCTTCTCTTCTCTGACTTCCCTATGACAAGCTCGTGCCTATCAGGTCACCTCACATTAGAAGCCGGTTGCAGTAGAAACTTGTTTACAAGCGCTATCAATCACAAACTTCCCAAGTCTAAAACCGGCACAATTCACATGATTTCAGTGCCTTCTTCAACCTTTTCCATTTTCCTGCCCAGCAGTTCCCACACAGCCCTGGAACATGGGCCTGAGTCACCACTTCCTTGAGTACGTTAGGACAGGACCTACCCAGCTGCTTTGCAGTGGCACAGCCAGCTAAATAAAGTAAATGACAACAATTAATCCAGCCCTGACCTTCATATGTATAAAGCGCTCCTGAGGGCACATGGTCCTTAGTAGGGCAGGAGAAAGGGTAAAGAAACTCAGAAATGTTAAAAGGATCCAGAGAAGACAAAGACAGAAGTCATCATCTCTGGTTCTTAGGTGCTACAGTATCATCTCGGTTTCAAGGTGGAGTGTCGAGAACCGAGGAGACTTCACACAGGTAAATCTCTACCAAGGTGATTCCAGCTTTAGTAAAAATGTAGTTTAAATATAGCATCACCGAAGTGTGAACTTACCTGTGCTTGGTGTACTTTTCTAGATGAGATGCCGGGTCAGAAAATTAGTGAGACCAAACTTGTCTTTGTGGTTGATGGCAATACAGGCACGCAGCTCAGCGAGGAGAGGAGGCGGTAGGAGGGGACGGTGGCCTAGGAGAGGGGTAGGGAACAGACCAGCATTCCTCATCTAGGTGCAAAAGCAGCCAACAGCTTGGTTGAGTCTACTTGAGGAGAACACGTTTGAGCATCCAGAAAGTGGGGCCAGCACAGCCTTTGAAGGCTATCGAGGAGCCAGTGTGGGATCTCAGTCCCAGGAGGAGCTGAAGGGGAGAGGCGCAGCTCTGCACGCATACCCACAGTCTCGAGAGGGTCCCTGGGGCTCTGCCATGTGTGGTGGGGAGAGGCTTGCAGGTGGTGTGCAAGTCACAGGGAATGGCACATGCTGGATTTAGCAGCTGTTACAGGAGCCGCAGCTGGTTGTACGTAGCACATGTGTTATTCCATATGTGTCTGCTTGCCGCTCAAGAGACAGGCTGAAATGTAGATTTAATTACCTACAGATGTTTCACAGCCAGAGGAAAAGCAAAAGATAAAAAAACCGAAGAACACTTATCGCTGCTCCAGGACAGCCTCTGCAGCGATACACGGGCTGACCAGCAGGTGCAAGCGAGAGAGCAGCCGATGCTTTTCTGTTACGGGGTCTGCAAAGGCTGCGCTCTCACAAGTGCTCCCCTCTGCAGTAGAGGCTGGACAAGCACTTCGTGCACACTGTATACAGAGTGGATGTGTCCAGGAACAACATCTGGCTTGGTAACAGGCTGTTCTTCTGCTCCTGATACCAGGAAAGATTGGATGGGGAAGCAGGAGAAAGAAAGAGGGTCTACTGGGTGTACAGCTGCACCAGGACAAGTGAGACTGACTTTGCATAAAACATCCATCACAAAACACGCAGATGTGGTCACCTGTGCACTTTGACACTTCTCCATATAACACATTCCAGATAATTCAGTGCTAGAACGGTAGCACTGCCAACATGTCCCGAAACCTGGGAGTCAGTCTAGGCCTGGAAGTCCTTCATGAAACTTTAAATCGGGTTATATCACATTCAGCTCAACCTCGTCCCAAAGGCAGAGGGGAAAGTGAATGAGCAGCATTTAGATGGGAGATTTTCCCCAAGTCAAACTTCTCATTTTGGCACTGCCAGTTTTCACAACATGGCACACACTTCAGTAGCACCAAATCCAAAGGGTTTTTCAGAACTCAAGGACAGATGCAACATAAAAAAGTGCAGTCCCAGTGCATGAGTGGGCAGCGATGTGCCACCGGCACGCAGCCTAGCTCAGCACGGCATGGTTCCCCATGCATGGAAGGAACAGGAAGGTATAAAAAAATATTTACTGTGAGGCTATGGGAAAACTACACTTGCAGAAAAACCAGCAGCCGCTCAGCAGACTTTGGAATTTCCTACTAACTAGTTGCCTTGGCTTAAGTGAAAACCTCCTTAATTTATATGCTGTATTAAAGTTACGAGACAAGTCCCATATAGCTTTGAAAGAGCCTTGGGCCCAGGAGGGAAGGGAGGGCGGAACGAAGTGGGCATTCTGGGCAGCACTGGGGAAGCTCTACATGCTTTGTTTACAAACCCTGTACACTTTTTGTTTGGCTTTTGGATGTGTTTTATTCTTTCCCAACTCCCTTTTCATCTCATCATAGTGCCAGCCACACTGATGAGTGTTTATGCTTGAGAATTCCTGAAGCACAGCCAGTACCTTGAACTCCAGAGAATGAGACTGAAATAACGTAAAAGGTCACGGAAGTTCAAAGACAGAGGTGCTGTTTTCCTAGCTGGGGACACCACACTGTTCCCAGACCACGCTGGGCTGCTCTGGGGACACAAGAACAAAGACTTCTGTCTTATGTCCTCCTGTTTACACTGCTTTTTGCCTCCCTCACCTCACTGTTTTAATGGGACTCATTTCCATGAAGCTTCAATTAAAACCACCAGGGATCAGTTTGGCCTGAGCCTGACAACTGAAGAGACACCTGATAGCTACTGGCACTAAAAACTTCTATCACCAAAGGAAAGGGGAAGTTTTTATCCCAACTGCTCGAGCCCCGCTGGCTCACATAGTAGGAGCAAGCCCCAGAGCGCTGCTTCATCCGCAAGCATATATAGAATCATAGAATCATTAAGGTTGGAAAAGACCTCTAAGATCATCGAGTCCAACCGTCGACCCAACACCACCATGCCCACTAAACCATGTCCCTAAGTGCTGCACCTACACGTCTTTCAAATACTTCCAGGGATGGTGACTCAACCACTTCCCTGGGCAGCCTGTTCCAATGTTTAACCACTCTTTCAGTAAAGAAATTTTTCCTCACGTCCAAAATCAGCTATTGCAGCACCCAGAAATCTGTAAGCACTTCACCCATGGGAAGACAAGTCAGAAGATGACTTTTGGAGAGGAGAGGTTTCATTCAGCCTTGCTGGTTAGCAAGCCTGTCCTTCAGAAACATGACGAACGTGCGCCTGGGCTGAACGGGCACGTGCCGGGTACACGCAGGTCAGCTGTGCCGTGCAAGAAGATAGTGTGCAGAGTGGCCACAGCCAGCCTCCAGCGCA